ATGCTGTAGGGAAAGCATAGAAAGCTTATCCTTATCTAAAAATGACGAACAATATAACACTTTTGTTTGGTATATATGAACGAATTAACACTTTAATTATTTTAATACAAATTACTTTTGTTGATTTATCTTAGAGCAAATGGTCGGAATATATGCATTTCTTTTGATTAGGGGACTATTTATTTTTTTTGTATATGGGTCATAATCATTCACACCTATTAGATGTCAAATTGGATAGTTTGGGGTGAATCCTAAAGTCCAAAAATTTATTGGGTAGTATTATAGTCACTTTTACTTTCTCTTTTACAAAAGTAAAATTATCAAAATGAACCTAACTTAAATTTAACAAATTATTCATTTCCTTTATTTTAATTTAAAAAATGATCACGAGTTACAATAGTTAGAAAATGGAAAATATTAAATAATTGATGAGCATGGTTTATTTTGATAAATCTTATCATTTTACAAAAATACCAGGTTTGATTGTTTAGTAGATTATTTTAGTCCGGTTTAAGGCAAATTTAGTATCTTATATGGATTATGACATATATTTTCTATGTGATTGAGAGAGAATTGAAAGCTGTAATTTAGGTGAAAACTGGAAATCCACTTATATCTGAAAAATAATTGATGTAATATATTTTTGCTAAAATTGACTCAAGGCATTAGCAACTAATGGGTGTCACAACATGCTGTCATGAGTTATCCATTATTATTACGGTTAGAGACCCATACTCTACTAATTTACCAAAAAAAAAAAAAAAGTAAAAAATAGTAATAAATATTTACAGTGCTTTGGTTCGCCACTTTCCAGAGGTTCTATGTCATATCAAGGGTGTCACCATGGGTTATTCAGGATGCAACCAGATGTTAGTTTGCTTTTTGATGCATGATTTTTTACGATGATTTTGGTCGTTGATGAAAAACTAATTTCAAATATTAGAATTTCAGATCATTCCGCTTGACACGGTTGTTGTTTATGCAATCAAAGTACACAACTCTTACTACATTATTGTGTGAGCTAATTTGGCCATAACTTAGACTGGAGTGCCAAGAAGATGTTCACAAGATTAGAGAGATAAAGGGCGGGCACGATTTCAATTTTGAGTTTTGAATTGGAGAGGTAATCATTGATCGGAAAACACATGGTACAGCATTTCAAAGTTCATAATCTAATTCTGACTCACCACGTCAGAGTATGGTTTAACTAAATTAAAAAATAGATCTAATTTAGATAATTTCATAACTTCTCAAATCTTACGTTTTCGTGAGCCAACTTGAGTGATTCTGAATTACCGTAGTAATTACTTAATCATGGACATAAATGTGCATTCCATGATTTCCATCACCCTTTACCCCAAATTGGCCTTTACTCCAAATTGGAAAATCCTCCTTCCTTACAAAGCAAGGTATTATTTACTTATTTTACACTTTATATATATCTTATACCTGATAACTTATAGAGTGATGTCAAAATGAGTGAGAGAGAAGGATAGAGAGAGGGCATTTTTTATAAGAAAGTGTTTGATAAGGCTGATGTCTTATCAAAATAAGTACACCCTCAATTCATAATTTATAGAAAATTGCAAGTCAGGCAATAAAAAACATTCACATCTATAATCTCAACTTGAACAATAAGGTTGTGAAAAAAAAAAAAAAAGGATTTTAAGTTCTAAAAATAATAAATATTATAACAAATTATCTAGACCATCCATTTACCTTAAAAATAAGTACTCAAAGATCCACAAGATCTGTACTATTTTTTCAGTTTCAAATTTTATCGTCAGTGTTAGAAATTGATTTGAGATCCATCATAGAAATTCCTGTTGCCGAAAGTACTCTCCAGACAAGAATTTGCAACGAGGCTTTATTTTGTTTTCATAAAGCCTAGGCCTTATAAAAAGTTTATTAATTTATTTTATATCACAAACCTAAAAGACCTCTCTGTAAAGGATCTTATTGGGCCAGTTTCCCAATTGCTATTGGTAAAGTGGGAATTATGGCCCTTTCCCAAGACTCTTGCATTTCAAAATCAATTTTTTTAAAAAAAAGCAAAGGAGAAATTTCATTGTGCCATCTGTCCGAGTCTCCATAAAGTGATTTGTGGAAAGTGGGTGGTGATCGTTCTCCAGCATTAGCGTATCTTAATTCTTACGCTAGTAAAAAGGGAATTTTGGCTTTTTAGCTGTAAGTCACATTGTGAAAATGGATTAACGAATGTTAATGATCCGATTTGGTCATTGAATATGATTGATTCTTTGCAATGCGTCAGTTATCTTATGTGAGGGCATAGAATGGTCCCGTAGACCACATTATACAGATTTCGTGGGCCAAAAAGTTTTTGGGAAAAAAAGTTGACAATAAAGTCATGGCCAAGTTTTCTATAGTTCATATAACTTATATACTTCTCTTTATCCAACCGTCCATTCTGAATGGACGGTTGAGATGGCCCTAATTGTAATATCACATTTCTACACTATTTTAGTTTTAATTATTTTTCAAAAAATATTTTGATACCAAATTTTGAGCATCCACTCCTATCTTAAATTCTCACACCAGTAGAAAATATATAAAAAATATTCTCAATAAAATAAAATAACCAAAATGGCCCTAAAAATTTTAAGGGTATTTTGGTCATTTTATTTTATCAAATTTTTTAAATAATTTGCTTGGGTGCATCCTATTGTGGCGATGGCACGTACCAAAGTTCATATTCATATAATTTGCATAAAAAATATTAAAATACTTTAAAGGGCTCGATCTAGATCAAATGGTCAGTGATTCACTTGATCAAAATTGGATTGACTTGATCAAAATTGGATGACTGGATGACGGGATAAGTATATATCTTCCATACATTAGAAAAAATACAAAAACCTTTCTCTAAAGTCATTAATTTATAACTATTTTTGACCATTGCATGTAAAATTATTCAGTAGGAGGCATGCTATTATCAAGATTCAAAGTCCTTAAAAAGAAAATTTTCTCTTTGCGACATAAACAAGTCGTCAGATTTTGTATTTGTTGACAAACGATGACTATGTCCTCTTTATATAAAAAATAAATGATATTTGTGGTACGTAATATGGAATTTTGGGATGCAGGTTAGAATCACCAAATCTCTATTTTAAGGAATACAGATTTTGAGGTATCAAACAAAAGATCGAATATATTTTGTATTCGATCTCAAAACATCTTTTGCATGTTGATATAGAGCATAATTTTCTTTATTTTCTTCGTTACTATTGTTTTTCTTCACTGCAGGTTGGTCACCAGGTTAAAGAGGTTACACAAATCCAGTTTGGGTCCTAAAAATCATCCTAGGGTTTTACCCGAGGGAGTGGATTGATTGTATGATAATGCAGGAGCATGTGAACTTTTGGAACCTTGTCCCATCTCCATTTGTAAGGGAAAAATTTGGTTTGACAAAACAAGGGAAAAGTTCACGAGTCCCTCCAATGTTTTGAATTTGATTATGTTGGTGACCCTTCTTTCCCCCTAGGTCAAATTTCGTACTATGACTTATTTTTCTGCTTTTTTTTTTTTTTATCTCTTTCTTGTTCTCTAAACTATAAAATGAGAAGGGCACTGTTTCCACGAGTCTACGTAGAAATGAATCACCTCGTAAAAATATATTTTTGAGATGGATTTTTTGACCTAATTTCTAGTGACATATAATCCCTAACATGGAGATCATGAATATGAAAAATAAATATCTTTAAAAAAATAAAAATAATAATTATATTAAGAAACCATTTGAACCGTTTGTTTCAATTGTTTTTAAATGGGCTACCCATTTGTATCCATTTTAAAGATGGATGCTTTATACATCTGGGGCCACAAATGTAGACATGCGGTTCCCACTGTATGAAACAATTTTCTAAATAAAACTTTATTTTTTTGGCAACTTTTTTAGTCTCTCTCTAAACACCGAAACTCTTGCCAAATTAAGATATTCAATCGACTCTTTTGTTGAATATCTCTCAAACTTAGATATAGTCCCTTTTTATAAACTGTAAGTATCAAAGTTAGGAATTCCTACTGACTATAAAAAGGCAATATTCATCACAACAAAATGAATATAAATGTCATAAACATGGTTTTACTCAGTAATCTCGATAAATTTCAAATGCCACATGCATGATTGAACGTAACAAACTCTATCTCTCTCTCACATCATGATTCGAACCTTATTACAATTATTTGGGATTAGCTAATAAAGGTATCTGAGATCGGCTAAATAAAAGTAATAAAAAACAAATATCATAGAGAAGAAAAAAAACTTCTATTTATTAAAAAAAGAAGTGATTATTTTCCTTTGATATTGTAAAGATTAAAATATAAAGAAAAAAAACGCACCTATTTACTTAAACAAAAAAAATAAAAGTACTAAAACTACTAAAAGCTAATAACTAAAAAAAAAAAGACTAAGAAAATGGCTGTTCCTCCTATCTTCACAAAGTACAAGAGACATGTTCATGTCTTTGAAATAAAAATAAAAATCGAAAGTGGACCACAACTATCGCTTTTAAAAAAAAAAAAGCATCAAACAATCCCGTCTTTTTAATGATTTAATTCTGTCATTCTAACAAACAGACATTTTGTCAAAAGGCAGGGAGCAGGGTCACTAATAATACGGATCGTTGAATTTTGGTTGCTTTTGATGGGCATTTCGGTCATTTCCTACCCTTACTCATTGCACTGAACTCCCACCAAAATAATAACACTATGCACGCTACACCAAACCGAAGATAATTAAGGTGTTTCTTACAGGAAAGGTTTTACTAATCACACCACACCGTACGACCTAAACCATACCCGTTCATTAGATTTATTTTGTACACGTGGGTGCGCTTAATAAAAATTCATGGTGTTCAAATAGATATCCAATTAAGTACAGTAATTAACTGAAGGTTCAACGAAAATTCAACTAGAAACTGGTAAATAAATAATTATTTTCTCTCTCTACAAAAGAAGACCATATAAATATCCCTGCTGGTTTTTGCAGGCACAGCGTTTGAAGGCCGAATATTTCCAGGGCTCTCTCTCTTTTTCTCTCTAAGATTTAAGGGGGGAAAGGGGGAAAAGGGGGAGAAGAAATCAGCATCGCCAGATCTGCAACTCCCCTGCGCCTCCTTCTCCTTTTATCCCCATTTTTTCTCATTTTAACCGAGGATTTTGATCGAGTTTCTTCTCTGTAAGTTATCGCAGAGATCTGATGGTTTGTTGTCTTTTTTCTTATTTTTTTTCGTTTTTTATCCGCTTCTAAGTTGTAAAATGGGATGTCTCTGTTATTTTTTATTTTATTCTTGAGGATTCATTTTTTTTTGCTTGAGACTGGCCTGCAAATTCTCTGATCTGTATTTTTTATGCCTTATTTATTCGAAATTTGCTTGATTTTTCTGATTCTTACCGGAAAAGTGAAATCTTTTCCTTTTATTCTACACTAATGTCCAGCTTTCATCTTTTTAGTGTCTCGTTTGAAAGGTCGCTGATCTGAAATTTTCCTGATTTATTCCTATGAAATTTGCTTGATTTTTATAAATACTGCTTGAAGTTTAGGGTTTGTTCTATGTACTATGCGGAAGATTTTATTATTACTTTTCGTTATATGTACTATGAGGAAGATTTTTTTATTTTTATTTTTATCATTTTTTTTTTTGTGAGTTTTGAATGTAAGTTCTCTTGGAAATTTCTGATTTTTCCCCCTTTTTCTCCAATTTTTGCATATTTTTATTCTCCTTGCTTGGAAACTGGATTGTGTTCCATTTGTTGTCGTGCTAAGCCCATATTTTTATTTTTTCCCCTTTTTAAGTTACTCTTTGTTCTGGCTTGTAAGTTCTATGCAAGATCTAGTTGTCGTGCTTATTTTATGCAATTTTTCTCTATTTTCTGTCAATTTTTTTGCCCCATTTTTTTCTTTTTTCTCTTAAAAATGGAATCTTTTACATGTATAGCATATCACGCCAACTGTTCATCTTCTTTTGAATTTTTTCTGTGGTTTTTTTCTAAGATTTGAACGTCGGTGTATTTTTTCCCTGAATTTTTGTTTATTTTTCTGCTTCTGCCTTTAAAAAAGGAAAGTATTCTATTCATAGTATACCTTTCCTAGGGGTTCATCCTTTTTTTTTTTTTACTTTTGCGTGTAAATTTTCTCCAGGATCTTTTTTTTTGAAAAAAATATCTCTAAGATCTGAAAATTTGATACCATTTTCCTTTATTTGGTCTTTTTTTACCGCCTGATACTCGAAAAATGTAATCTTTCCTATATATGGTTGACTGTGCTTGCGACTTGTTCCTGGTTTTCGTCTTTGCTTGTGAGTCCTTTTCAAAATTTTCATGGTTTTGTGCTTAATTCCTGTTTTTTATTTTTATTTTTATTTTTTTTACACTTGGAAAATGTTACTTTTTTGTTTTTGCAGTTTTAATTGTGCATAGGATTTCTTTTTTTTCAAAATTTTGGAAAGATTGGAAGCTTTGATACATTGTTTTACCCTTTCAGTCTCAGTTGTCAGATCTATAAGTTGTTCCCTGTTAGCAATATCGTGCTTATATATATATATATATATAGTTTGATTACATTGTTGTTATTTGTTAAAATGAAGTCCATCCATTACGGATATACAACCTATTCTTTTTTTGAGTATCTTTTGAATTCTAACTATTTAGTACTTGAGATTTGTTCAATAGTTACTCTCATGTGCTTAGTTATTTTATTTTGTCTCGAGGCTGTGCCTTGACTTTTATTTTATATCTGACTTTTTGATGCTTTATTTCTGCACATTTGTCTAGTTTCTTCTCACTGCTTGAAATCTGTTGTCAGTTCTATATGTGGTGCAATATCATTATTTTTTCATTGTTCTTTCACTTGTTGCCTGGAAAATTCCAGCTTAGATCTCAAATTCGTATAACTTTTTCTGTCCAATTGAAGTTTGTAAATCCAATTGACTAATTTCTGGTATTATTATTTCTTTGCGACTTGAACAGTAGTTTTCTGTTATGGATCTTCTATTTTATTTTTCTTGTCTTAACTCTGTATGCTTAGTAGTATCAAGAATCCTGATGCTCAGTTTTTGTACTTTCCTCGTTTATATTATTCCCAATCAAAAAGTTAAATGTAGGTATAAGTTAAATGTAGGTATAGTTATATTCTAAGGCAATACCCGAATCCCAAAGGCATGTATGCATTCTCTTTATTTGAGGATTCCAACTGTTGTCCAATACATGTTTCTAAGTTCTCTTCCAGGAAAAACATTTCGCTGAGTGATGCTTTTTTTTTTTTGAGTTTTTCCCTATACATTTTTGCATCCTTGGATATGGAATCCATTTCTTCGCCACGGTTAATATGCTCATGGTACTATCTACTTTGGATATTTTCCTTAAATTACAACCAAGTTTTAAGCTGTAATGTGTACTCTTGTTTTTGCCAGATAATTTTGTTGTTAGTGCATATTACTTCTGCAAAAAATTTGTCACACTATAGGTTTAACGTGCAACTTTCATTTTTTTCATTTTGATTTTCATCCGTTCTTATGTACTACAAAAGCAGGGCAATTTTTAGTTATTTTGAACTTACCCATTCTTAATATGTTTTCAATATCACAGATAGGGGTTAGGATGGATTGCTACCCTAGGAAAGCGAACATCATGCAGCCGACTGCTAAGGTCGATGCACTTGATTGTAGATCAAACAAGAACACTAGAGGGAGGTGCAGTGTGCTTCATTTCGATTTCGATCTCCACCACGAGCCAGTTGTTTGCCCAAAACCACAACGTGTTGCCTGCCCTTCATTTGTATCAGATGACCTTTATAGGTTTTGCTGCAAACCGCGGAGGTGAGATAGTTGGGTTTTGCATTTCATCATTTGTCTGTGTCCTGTGTTTCTTGTGTATAGTGGCATTCCTTTTTGGTTTATTGTGTACATATTTAGAAAATTTGGTAGCCCAAAACTCACAAACACATGCATAGTTTGCCTTAAAAACTTCATAATAATGGAAATGGGATCACATAACTAACCAGATTAAACAGAAAAAAACCATTTTTTGGCATGGTGTGAATTTCATGGATAGTAGGCATTCAAAAAAAATAAAGGAAGAAGAATTCTATGGATAGTAATGCATTATGTATTGTTAATTGTGTATTCGTAGTAATTTTTGATAGAATTTTGCTCTATCGCTTCAATTACTTCTCTGCTTTTGGGACTGTAAATCAAAATTGTTAAGCCTTTTTAAAAGTGCGCGGACATGTGCAATCATGTAGCACCAACTTGATCCAACCCCCAAGTGTGTGCACAGGGATGGTGATATTCATTGCTTTTGTTTTTTTTTTTTTTCTTTTTTGATAATTCAATAACTTTAGCATATGCTTCAAAGTTTCTCATGTTACATCTATTGTCTATTTTGGTTTTTAAAATCTTTGTCCTATTTATTGCAGCAACCACAAAGGGCAGGAAGAACCAAGCCCTGGTCTGAATTCTGTGGACTTGTTTCTGAGCACGGTACTCCTGTTCCTGGACTCATTTACAAAGCAAATTCTCATTCCTCTGTTGCTTATTGATTTGCTCTTTTTCTCTCTCTGTCTCTCTCTGTAACATGATTTTTGATGAATATTCAGAATGGGTGCAAGGAAGATGCAGAGCCAAACAGTCCGGCGAGCTATTTTTGCGGCTCACCTCCGGTACGAACCAGCAACCCATTAGTTAGAGACGAACAATTCAATAGGCAGACCTTAACTCGCCCCACCTCTGTTCTTTCCCATGGTGGGAAGCCCATAGTTAGGGTTGAGGGCTTTGCCACCTCTTGTGGGGCTTCAATTGGAGCAAAGCCGAAGGTGAGGATTGAAGGCTTTGTATCCTCAAGCCCTGAATCTCAATGCATAGTCCCGGCGCTTGCCTAACAATGGCACGGGAAACCCATATCCGTTTTTGACTTTGCAATCTCTCCATGCCTGTAAATTTTACGGAGAACTTCGATTGCCTTCTAAACCAGCTAGAGAGAGAGAGAGAGAGAAACCAGTACGGTTTTTTAGTCTCACCTGTGGTTTGTTCTTCAACCTTTTGATAGTTGTTGTTGTCTTGTACAGAGTGAAAGAATGAGTCAAGGAGTGAGATCAATTTAGGCATCCATGTTGAGCGAATAGGTTGAGGTCTTCTAGAGTAAGACTGCATTCTATTTGGTTTTGTAAGCTCTTGGGGAAAAACATTTGTACAGTAAGGTGAATTGTATATACACTTTGTGTTTGCAAATGGTTCTTTCATCCTTCTTGAAGAAAATGTGGCGTGGTAGAGAGAGAGAAAGAGAGAGATTTGAAGTCCACACTATTGCTTAGAGAGAGATTTGCGAACGGTCAATTTTCCTCTTTTTTGATATTCATGATGGCGGTAGTTGAGACAATGGACTCGCAAAATTTTGGATCTAACGTTCGTTGCTAAGATGGATGTTTGAAGGGGACAATATTCAATATGGCCGCATTTAAGGACTTTGAGGTCGAAAATGGCTTCCTAATCCTTCCTGAATTCCTAACTTATTTTTGGAGAGGGAAAGAGAGTGTGACTTATGGCTTACATTTCTAAATAGAAAAAGTTTATGTAGAGCCGAGGCTTTAAACAATCAAAATTAGAACCCACTTCAAAAATTTCATTAGAAAAGGTTGTTTTGTTGCTCAAAATATCTTTGAATTGATCATCTCAACATCCATGGACATGAGAAAAAAAAATAGATTTCAAGTTTTGAAAATAGTGGATCTTGTAACGTATTTTTGGATCGTCAATTTTCAAGTTTTTATGGATTTGTTCGATTTATATTATTTTTTAAGTTTTAAATTTTATAATTAAAAATAAAAATATATTTTAAGGTTATCACAAAGATTTTCAATATTGAAACTATATTTCTCAACACTTTTTAAATGTGCCGTTTACTTTGATTGTATAGAGCCTTGGCTTTATACAAACCGCACCCTTTCAAAAATGAAAGAACGACAATAGCCTGCTGCTGTTTTTACTTAGGATTTGGGAATAGCATCGTGTGGTTAGTTTTAAGTAAAATGACAATGGGAGTGTTCACAACCCTTCGTAAACCTGCTTTATAGCACCCAAAATTTGGATCACCTCAGACATACATGTTGGATTGCTGGATCAAAAATGAAATTAGGAGTTTATGAAGTGGGCATTTAGGAGGACGTAAAAAATTATTAGATAAGTTTAATAAAAGCAAAAAAAATATAAAAGAGGAGAGTTTTAAAGGGAAAGCAGGTAGCGACTGATACGAGGAACCGTTTCGATCCAAATCGATTCAGATTGGGAATTGCCTGTAGCATCTCATAGGGTGTTAGACTGGTCTCTATGTTTTAGGGCTGCAGGTTTTTTAGGAAATGGTATTGCCATAGTTGGTAAAACTGCACCCCTTAAATATAGTTTTAATGTCATAACCTTACGAGTGGTATGCAAATTTATTTCTTAATATGCAATTTGGAGCTATTACAAGATGGGTGCCGTTTGTATAGAGCCTAAGCTCTAAACAATCAAACTAGAGCCTACTTTCAAATAGTGTTTCAATACTGGAAATATTTTTGACAGCCTTAAAATATATTTTCATCTTTATTTATAAAGTTTAAAGCTTAAAAAATAGTATAAATCGACGGATCTTTGAAAACTTAAAAATTGTTGGTAAAAAAATGTATTATAAAATACACTATTTTTAAAACTTGAAATCTATATTTTTCTCATTTCCATCCATCTTGATGTCGAGATGATCAATTTGAAGATATTTGGCCATCAAAACAATATCTTTTAGTAAAAGTTTTGAGATAGGTTCAAATTTGATTGTTTAGAAATTTGCCCATTTGATTTTTCCAAATCCATCTTTTTTTGAGGTTTAGATGATCTACTTGCAGGTTTTTCGACAAACTGCATTTTCCTAATAACTTTTATAAACTTGTTGCCCCGCAAAATACTTAGCACTTTTTAAAGCTACCCAAAACATTGAAAAAGCAGGGGGCTGCATAACAACAAAGCTCGTCTGTTTTGCGAATATGTTAGTGTGGCTGGATCAAAAGTACTTGTTGCGCTTTAAGAACAACCCTTTTTATAATTGGGTGCAGTTGGCATACGGACGTCTCCGTCGGTGTAGAGGTAAGGTGCCTTTCAAATTTTTATTGAGGTATATAATTTTGATGTAAAATGTTATTAAGATTATTTTAAAAAATATATTTTTATATCTAATTATAAAATTTCAAATTTAAAAAATGGTTAAAATCAAGTAGATCTATAAACATATGAATATCTTAAAAATAGACAGTGTAGATAATATGTTGTAAAATGTACTATTTTTTAGACTTAAAATCTTTTTGTTTTCATAGTCATACATCTTGATGTCAAGATGATCAATCAAAGGATTTTTCAACATTAAAACTACCATTTTTGATGGGTTTTTGAGGGGCATCTGTAGTTCTATATTATTAGGTTGAATCCTTATATAAATTTATATAATTTGCGCTCATGGTTGCTTTTATTAGTATCATCATCATTATTATCATTGTTAAAATCTTTTCCCAATTAATTGAAATTGATTATATGAATCTTGATCCGTTATTATACTCTATTAAGGATCATGTCTTCAGTCAGGCCATAAGTCAACAAGTTAATGTTAGTAATAGATATTAAAAATCACTACGCTGAAAAGTAGCACTGCAATTGAAAAAAAAAAGAAAAAAAGGAAAAAAAGAAAAGAAAAAAAGTTTGATTTTGCTTTGCTCAGGAAGTAGTGGTGAAGGTACGCAACTCAAGACAGCCAACCTATGGAAGGCAGTACTGAACCACAAATATCGCCTAGACCCTGTTTTTGGCGCCCAAGTTTAGAGCCAATATAAGGTCCTCGAGCATATGGAAGTCACTCCCCATTCTTCACCTTTTCAAAAGCTACACTAGACTCCACCCAGAAGGGGCTTTCGGGTAAGTTTTTAGCAAGATCTGTGGTTAGGCCAAACCCCCCTCAAGGACCAATTCCGATCCCTCTTCCCATTAGCCCTTAATCGTCAAGCCACAGTTGAAGACCAATTTCCAGTTCTAGGGTTGACTAGAGCTGGAGCCCAACATTCAGAAGACCACCATCTGATGCAGAATTCCAAGAGTTCCTTGACCTTTCCTTCCCCTACGAGGCGAGGATAGCATCATCTAGTGCCCAGCTCCCTCAGGATCTTTCTCAGTCTCCTCCCCCTATAAAAAGCTACTGGATCCCCCCACCTTTCTCCATGCTCCCCCATCTATTGTAGCCAAGGCTTGAAACTCCTTTGGTCTCCCCAAAATTGAGTTCTTCAACTGGCTGGCCCTGGTCGAGAGAGTCCTCACAGTAGATCAACTCCAGTGAAGGGGTATGCCAATACCTAACCGCTGTGTCATGTGTAAGGCTGGTGAAGAGACAAATGCCCATCTGTTCACCCTATGTCCCAAAGCATTCCAACTGTGGGGATCCCTCCTTCAGTTGTTTCAATGGCAATAGGTAACCCCCAGTTCAATCCCTCAACTTTTTTCCTCTCTCTTGCCATCCCTGGCCCAAATTAGGTATATCCTACTTTGGAAAGCGGCAGTACCTGCTCTTCTTGGGACCATTTGGATCGAACGCAATCAACATATTTTTTGCAGGGAGTTCATCCCCGTCAGCCATATTTGAAAAGATAAACTGTGCTGTGATTTCTGGGCTTCCAATCACAAGACCTTCAAAGGCTTCCCTCCTTCTGCCTTCCATATGAACTGGGTGGCCATGCTCAACCTCAACAGGCATTGAATTCCCCAAGCTTATCCGTAGCGTCCACCTGAACCGGCATAGGCGGCCTTTTCAGGAACCATGAAGGCACCATCCTAGCCTCATTCTCTAGACATATCGGCCACTCAGATTCCCAAACTGCTGAGGCTCTTGCTCTTCTCGAAGGCCTTAAACTGTTCGATCCCTCATGGGGCACAGGTGTGTTAGCAGAAGGCGACTCTAGTAATGTCCTTACCTGGTCTTGGGTTCGACTTCTTGTCCCTGGCCTCTGACTCTCAACTTTGAAGAGATTAATCACTTGCACAGGGACATCACAATTGCATGGAGTCACATTTGGCGAGAAAATAATTCCCATACTTATTCTCTCGCTAATGCGGGCGCTCTAAACATCTATAACACAGATATTTTTTGCATGCTCAGTCCATTTGTGTGCAGTCTTCGACACTATTTTTCCCCTTTGCTATTTTTCCCACCATTGGAAGCCTTCTATAGAGGTCCATCTAAGAGGGTTGCCATTTTTGTCTGTAAATAGTCTCATACCTTTTGGAGACTCAACTTTGTACTATTTTCCCCTCTTAGTACAACAGTTAACTTCATCAAAAAGAAAAAAAGAAGTAATGTGCAATAGCTAAAAGCATGGGATTGTAGCTTTATGCAACACATACATGATATAAGGTGGGAATAATCTTACAACATAGGGAATACGATAAAAACCCTCCAATTTGCTCTTTATAGACATCCTCCACCTCCAAACCGCTTTTGATACCACACTATTGACCCCAACAACCATTTTTCTTCGTATACACCCCCATGTAAAACAATGATTTTTTTAAAACTAAAATACCCCCTCCCTCACATTTTAATCCATGATACCAAAACATGACGCCCAACACATGTCATTCGGACCGGCAAAACTTGAATACAGAGCCATCCAGCACAAAAAATGTGCCAGACCGGCTCTATATCAAGTTGTGCCGGGCAAATATAAAAAGTTTTGGGGTTAGGAGTGTGATTTACAAAGTATTGGGTGGTGGCATGCCTTGGAAAGAAGGGTCAAACGGGGTATCTATAATTTTTCCTATAATCTTTCCTAAGAATGGATGGTACAGATTAATCAAATTCAAAGCTCCCATGGACTACTTTTTTGGACCCAATGATAGCTTTCTTGGTGGATTACAAAACTAAATGAAGTAGTGGGGTTTTGTTCAATTCCAAGGCTATAGAACATCTACACTAAAGAGAGACCAATGTAAAGACAAACAATAAGGCCTCATAAGTTGGGCTGCAACTCAAACCTAACCCAATAGCATACAAGTTGGAATCGAACCCATCTTGTGATTTAGGACCTGGACTTAAACCTAACCCACCAAGCATGACTCATGCACGCACACACACACACACACACAAAAACCGACCATGAGAATATTACCCCCTATGTGCCTAATCCTCCATGAATACACCCTTCAAAATGGATGTTGACAAGGAATGAATGCTGCTCTGCTATTGTTTGTGATGTGCACCAACCGTTTCCCTATCGTCAATCAGTAGTCCTGATCCATTCATTCCCCACCAAAAATACAAGCCTTTGGATGGCCAGTGGTCTTGAATAGGGTGCTCATACTGCAACATATGCACAAAAGAATGGAAGGGTTTCTTACAACTTTAACCTGTTCATTCTATCTCCAACAAAATCTTGTATAAAGTATTTTGATTAGATGCAACTTAACATTTTGGGGGGAAAACATATAAAATAGAAAATTCATTTTTATAGTTAGAAATTCTGTGTCTTCTCTATTAATTGAAAAGTTTGTGCATTTTCACCAGCGATAAGAAGACTATGTTTTTTTCATCTGTCAAATCTTTATTTTGTGGCAAGTCTGGGAGGGGTTGATGCTGGTTTTCTTCTTCTAGAGGGTGGGAATTGGAATTTCACCTGAAGATTTGCCCCATGTGCTTCCACGAAAGGCGTTCAACAAAAGATCAAGTCGGTTTTTTAAAGTTTTCCACCCTGATTTTCGTTTTTTCCACTACTCTTTGTACATGACTGTCATTCCTCTACCTCTTCTCTGAATAGGTTGAGCAGGGTCATTGGACTGGTGTATTGGATTTCATTGTGGGCGTTATTGGGTTCTTGGGAAGAGGCTTTGAGGAGATCTCAAGGCTTTGGTGAATGCAAAATTGATCTGAGGGAGTGAACCCCTGTATTTGCTTCGCAAGAGACCACAAGAGCTTCATGGGAGATTCTACTAAAAAAAACGACGAGAGAGAGTAGAGGTGGAGAGGGAGCAGGAGGCTTCTGTGGTTTCCTGTTGTTTTTTTTTTGGGGGGGGGGGGGAAGCGGGGTAAGGGAGAGGGGAAGAGAGGGTATTTTGGTCCAAACATTCAGAATTGATATATTTGATGTGCCCAAAAAACTGAAGATTTCTTGGAGGGAGCATTGTGGGTTAGAGCTACCACGTAAATTCCCAAATAATAACTTATTGGGGTCTATCAAATACTTCAAATGAATGTTAGCTCCAACGTTGACTCTAGACCGTCTCAGAGCTCAGAATCAATTTTCTTGAAATTGTTCTCAAGTCAAATCAAAGATGCATTGCAAAGTTCTAGATTAAAGAGATCTTCATAACTAGGAGTTTCGGGTCCGGAGCGAGTGTACAATTTGCTCTTAATGAAACATGCTGAAGGCACCGAGATAAATAAAACAAGTGCTGTACAAGATCTTCAAAAGTTAATTATGCAGTGAATGCTGGGCAGTTTCAAACAGCAGATTGAGCCCTCGGAAGAACAAGACTCACTACATTTGTCTAGCAATACAACATTGATCCAATTATACCACACTAAGCACATGAAAGGGCCAAAAACACTAGAACAAAATTGAATAAATTAAACCATATGGATATAATGTTTTTATTGAATGAGTTTGGTATCAGATCTGTACCCCACCAATGAATAGTTACCAATAAGAGAAGTTCTTCATGTTAAATTACCTCACATACAATTGTTTCCATCCAGGAAAAGCTTGCTTTTATTTGAATGTTGAAGACCCACCTTGTAAGCTCTCCAACCTGCGAACAAGTGAACCAAACTTGAAAACTGTGGCTCAAGTATATAAATACATGCAGATGTATATATAAGAGCCCCTTCAAAAATTTGGGGTTTTCTGGACCTCAAATTTTGCGAACATGAAGATTCCATTTAAGGGGCCATTTGGTAATTGAAAATCTATTACAAGGAAACATATTACAAGGAAATATGGGATTTACCATGTTTGGGTACACAACAGTAAGAAATGGAAATAAATTACACAAGATTTTCCTAAAATACGTAAAATCCATTATGCGCAAGATAGTTGTGAAATCCATTACACGCTTAACGGACAATCAAACTACGCATGTCTCTTGCAAAAAAAAAAAAATTCCTCTATGTCCCTCCATTCTCCCTTTCTCGTGTGCACATCCACTTCTCTCTCAAGCTTACCTCAAAACCTAGCAGAGCATCATCACCATCTCTCTTCCCTAGTAAGCCCTTACTCCTTTCTCTCTCTAAAGCCTTTTCTCCTCTCTCCAATAAAAATCATTCTCCCTCTCTACAATGAAAACCATTCTCCCATATCTCACAGTATAAATACGCAGAAAATGCCAGAACCAATGCATCTAAAGTGGAACCAAAGCAAAATTCCAGTCTCCTTGCTTTATAACCAATTTAGTTTTCATTATAGAGATAGAGACAGGGTGAGGTTAGAGAGAGATAGTTTAGGGAAAGAGGAAGAGTTTGTTCTTGGGTTTTATACTTGTAATAAATTCAGAGAGACCATCGTCGAGATCATTGTTTTTGTAGAAAACCCATTTTTTGTTGCTGCCCAGATAGCTTCATTTGTATAGAAGTTTTTACATAGATCATTCATTTTTTTAAAGAATTTGGGGCTTTGATGGGTATATCAAGGGCGAGTAGCAATGTATTTCCCAGGTTGTATTTAGATACTACCCAAATAGTAACAATCCATTTGCAAGTAATGTATTACGCCAATAATATATTACGGCAATAATATATTTAACAGACAATATATTTCCAAGTATCCAAACGACCCCTAGGTGATCAATTTTATTTTAGAAAACATCAAAATTAAATAAATAAGTAAAAGAGAAAATTCAAAACAATATAGGGGAAAATGATTCCACTGTTTTTAAGAACATAGGCTGTTCATTTGGTGCACAGTGGATTGAGGCCTTCAAGAGCTCAAATCATTTTTATTGTTTATTTTTACATTTGACTATCATTAAAATCAAGAAGGATGCGCTAAATTTCGGGCCAAGAAATCCGTCTGTGTTTCAACACCTTAATAGTCATATTGAAGAGAACCCTACTTGGATTTATGGGCAAACCTGAAAACTGAAGTATTGAGCAATCACAGTTATATCAAAGAGGACCATTTTTTTCTTTATTGAATTTTGAGAATAGAGGAGAACTTTTTTTTAGGTAGTCTTGCAAGAATTTCAATGGTGTTTAGCGAACAAGCAGGATTACAAGAAATAGTCTCCTAGGTGAGTAGAAGCGGACCAAGCTGGGATGCCTAAGAGTCTTAAATGAGTGTCAGAGTGAAAAAAAGCACTATTGTTAAAAAACATGTGCCAGAAACACACACACACACACAGAGATAGGGAGATAGATAGATAGATAGATAGAGAGAGAGAGAGAGAGAGAGAGAGAGAGAGAGTACGTTGTTGTTGTATTCTCATCATTCTCGCATTCTTTGACATAAACCATGACAGCAGAATCATATTCTGCAGCTCGACGCAAATATCCCATAGCTTCACCCTTCAAACCTTCTTGAAATAGAGCACTGGAAATTGCTTGGGTAAGTTGAATGGTGCTATTGAATGCCTAGCTACTGTGGTGTAAAAGGTAAAACTAGAAAATGAAATTTGAACTGGTTCCCATTCTCACCTTCCTAAAGTGACAAAGGCCTTGTAGTAACAAGCCTTTTGCCAAGGATCTTCAGGTTCCTTGAAAAGTGTTACCTTTTTAAGATACTCTATGCCAACTGACTTGCTACCCTGCACAAAGAAAACAACAATTTTTTCGCCTACTTTCTGTTCTATTTATCAAACAAAACATTGAAATTCGAAGAAACCCATAATTTTATTTGATCTGCCTATAGAAATGGCAATAACCTGTAAATTACACTATACCATTTTTCTTTCTTTTTCACAAAAAGAGTTGGCAGTAATAAGTTTACAAATGTATCTTACTCCTTTATGAAACACACAATGGGAAGACATCCCACTTCCCTTGAGAAAAGGAATGTTGTGCCCAATGAGTAATACCATAGTAGCAATATGCTCCTTTCGATTAACAAAGAGAATCCATTGTAAAAAAGACTATTCATTACTAATATAAACTTGTGTGCAGAGTTAAATAATTTCTTTTAAGGATTCCCATGTTACCCCAAGTTGGACAAATAGATTTACAACCATGGTTCCCAGGTGAGATTTTCACCTGCAAAAAATAAGAAACTCCAGCTCCGAAGTATGCCGCAATTAGGAGGCTATCAGCTCCGTCTTTAGCCTGTCAACCAAAAGAATACAATCATTATAAGATGTTATTTGACTGAATGGAGAGGAATCGTGGGTTTTATTGCTATTGCTAATGCTCCTCGGAGGCAGAGAAAAGTACATAACTTAAGAAAGGCAAAACGTTAAGATGACAAAACTGACTAATAGATAAATGAGATAGACCTTTGCAATAGCACGCTCAAAATTTTCAGCAGCCTCAGGCAGTAATTTTCTTGACAATAGGATCTCTCCAATAGCAATCATGGCTTTGGTCATTTCAGGATCTTGCTCGAGTGCTATTCTGCAGCAATAAAGTCTCTGATAGTCAGACATTAAGACAACACATTGATATGGAAATGATCAGGAATAGCATTCATCACGCACCTAGATTTATAAACCAACACCATAAATGCTTGGCAATCTACGTGGATTTACACAAAACGTGACCCAAATGATTTTTACTCATGTGACACATGTTACAGTCGCCTATTGAATGTGATTAGGTGGGCCCATTGTCACCTTGAGAAAGTTTTTATGGAGATCTTTGAGACTTGTGAAACTTCTATCTTGTTTGCTCATGCTCTGTGAGGCCAATGAAGTGGTCAGGAGGGTGCAATTTCTCCCTCATGGTCCTTGGGACGTCTTTCCTTTTCCCTAGGAGATACTCCATCAAAATATCTTCGTCCTATAGTTTCTTGCTTTGCTGCTTCCTATCCATTGTACTGCTTTCCTTAATAAAAACTAAATGTTGGCAATACTATAAAGAATAAAAGAAAATGGGAAGATATACACACGTAACAAGTTCCTACTTGGAGTACACTTCCAAACAGTTTCTAGAATTGAGATTATCGCAAAACAATCCTCGGAGCTCAACAGGAAGTATTCAGACTAGAAATACTGAAGATTCTAAAAGTGATAACCATGTTTTCAGCAAGACTTCTCTCACTAAGATTCTCTGGACTTATTTTCTTCATGTTTCTAATTTGATCCCAGATGCCTCCAAGCTTACTGAAGTGAAATATTTAACATCCACACTCATGAAGAAGCATTATATAAACAGATGTATATACAAAGATGTTTGGGCCTTTAGTGGACAAACCAACAAAAGTATGGGGAAAATATATGTCAAATCACTAATTCACTATAAAATATTCAAAAGTATCAGTATACTTATATCAATAAAAACCTACGCCCCAGAGGATAAAAACAAATATTCTGCCACCTCATCAATGCAGACTCTCAACAAAGAACAAAAGATGAAAATCATTTAGTTTGTACATAACATAACCCCAGCAGGAAGTAGATGGAGAGAAACTCAAAGTACCGTAACAACGAAAGTGCTTTTTCTTGATGTCCGCTAGCCAACTGTTGGTAAGCAATCTTCAGAAGTTCGAAAACATGCAAATGTCAGAGGAATATATAGTGTCGGATGTAAAAAATGAGAAGAGATTCTGTCTTTAGACTCACAACAAGCAGATCATCCTGGTCTAACTTCTCCTTAGGAACTCTAAGGGCTGGATTTCCTAAATTTGCTCGTAGCCCAAAATATTTGAGAATGTACGGTTGCTTCAGTAAAATTTGCTGCACAATACAAAGAAAATGAATTGGGTTAAACCTTTTCAACAATATCTGAAAATATTGTGATAACATGACAGTAATTGCACCTAATAGCTAAGTTAAGGAAAACCCAAAAGTACCAATGAAAATAAAAGCAACTATTTTTATTTCTTTTGGGTAGAATAAACCTTCTAGCCTCTTTATTCCTAGACACTATGAATTATAGGGATATATCCATGATGGAAAGAATTTTTTACATCAACAAATTTTACATATGGCGAATCAATTAGTATTGAAACCAACAGTCAGGTTCAATTGAGTTTTTCATCAATAGAATAATCAAGAACTTGAGCATAAGTATGAAAGATGGGTGCGAAGGGGTCAACTTGACATCCTTCTGAGATGTTACCAAAGCAACCAGATGGAATTCCATTTGTCATAACTACACTAAAGAAATGAACCAAATCTCTAGTTGAAAAGCCAAAGTGGAAACTACTTTGAAGAGGAAGTCTTAGTCCAACCAATCAGAGGTTTTGCTTATTTTTACCTATAGGACAGCCTCACAGGGCATATATTGCTATGAATGGGAGACAATTTCCCCAAAAGCCAGGAGAATATTATGAGAGATAAACCCATCCTTGAAAAACATCCCTGGAAGAGGAAAAGTGGTGATGAAAAGAGATGCTACCATCGTTAGAGCAAGCACATTAAATATACTTTAATAGAAGATTTTTTCATGAAGTTCTCCATTCAGTTATGATCAATTATTTGCAGGTCGTTTGGTGAAAGTAAAATTAATAAAGCATTTATAATCCTTCTATTTTGGGGCAAGTGGCATGGTTTCATCATATGCTTTTGTTCATATCAGCCCTCCTTTTGAAGTCCAAATAGCCATCTCCTACAAACCAAAAGCTAAAAGCACAAACTTCTTCAAAGATGGTGCAGAAAAGAGATCCAAGGAAATCATAAAATCCTAATAGAAACCCACAGAAAATCTAGGTCCTAGGATTCTTTCATGGGAGAGAGTGAAGCCTACATGTTTAAATGTTGCTCCTGTTGCAAGAAGCAATGACAGGATCCAGTCCCAAAAAATGCAAATTTAGTGACATTGACGGTCCCAAATTCCTTAATAAAATGCACTCTTAGAATGTCGGATGTCATATAATTGATATCAGTGCTGACTCATGAACAGAAGAATAGTATAATCTAGTTCATAACTCTTGACAATTGCTTTCTAATGTCTTTCTATTGAAAAATATAATTAGATTCATCAAATATTATGTGCATCCTCATCTCCAACCACTAAACAGATGGCATTTTAAAAAAATTCATAAGTAGTGTAAACAAATGCCTGGAGTAGAAGATTCTGTTCAAAAGCAAACCTGAACTAGGGTCAATGAGCTATTTGTGAACCAGTACAGTAAGCTCCCCTGCAAACACAAAAACTTTTTAAGTTGGAATACTGTTCTTGACAAAACAATAACCACGATGTAATAACATAGAGAAACAAAAGATGACTCATGCAAGCTCCAAAAGCATGCCTGGTGCATAATAGACTTGCAAGAGGGCTAGGCCCGAGCAGATGGAGGTCTGCCAGGCCCCACCCACAACTAAAGGCCAGGGCCGGTCATGGGTCGAACCACCTGGCACCAAACCCGACCCGACCTACAACTCATTATGTTATATTAAATTACAAATCTTAGATTACTAATAGGTTATAACAAACGTTATTCTGTTGTGTGCATTAAGTTGTAACAAGCTTTTGCAACCAAGTACTGATAAGAAAGGAATACCAACCTGGGGAATGCAAAACCCAATAAAAAAAATGGGGAGTGTCATAATATTCAACCACAGCTTGTAATACTGCAACCAAACACCAAAGACAAATTTTCCGCACACATCAACAACAAGAGAACATCCATTAGAAGAAATCTGCAATCATGTTTCAATAGGCAACCAAACAAAGAAGTTGAGCAAATAGCCAAGAGTAAAGTCCCAACAAATACAACAATAATTATCTGGCATGTGGGGATTGACTTAGATCATAGCAGACTAACAATCGAGGATCACCATGAATAGGCTCTAGGATTCAGCTGCAAAAACTGTGATAAATCCAATGACCTGAGTGCTGACTTCCTCGGAGAATGTCACTCAGGGTGCATCCATGCATCACCGTAGACACAAATCCCTTCAGATTGTGAAACTGCGGAACAATATCCTTTTTTACCTTTTTCATAGGTCCGCAGTGGAGTTTGAACATGAGATGTGAGGTTGCAGTTACTCAATAATGTAACAAATCAAGCCCATGCCTAATATTTTCTTTGTGTTGAATAATTTGTAATTAACTTGTTAAATATTACACAATTGTTTATATATATAATGAAATGCAACATGTCATAAAAGGTGAAGCAGTGTAAACTTCAAATATTTTTTGATGTTGTATGCCCTTCTCTTCCTTTTCTCGACAAATCTCTCTCTCTCTCTCTCTCT